TGAAGAGAAGCTAAAGGTTTGGAAAAAGACATGTCCTAATTTTTTTTTTTAAAGGCAATTGGGGTTAAGTGACTTGCTCAGGCTCACACAGCTAGTAAGTGTCAAATGTTTGGTCTGAGGCCGGATTCAAACTGAGGTCCTAAAAAATCCAAGCGTTTCTTTGTCGTGCTTCAAGGTTGATGCTCTATCCACTGCACCACCCAGCTGCCCCTAAAGTTTATTTATTTTGGGGGTCAGTTAGGCAATGGGGTTAAGTGACTTGCCTAGGGTCACACAGCTAGTAAGTGTTATGTGTCTGAGACTGGATTTGAACTCAGGTCCTCCTGAATCCAGGGCCAGTGCACTATCCACTGCGCCACCTAGCTGCCCCACCCTAATTTTCAAGAAAAGGAAGAGAATGGAGCCTACAGACTATGAGTTAGTGATCCTGACTTCAATTCCTGGAAAAATTCAAGGGTGTGTTATTAAAATGATAATTAATGATTCTATGTTATTAGCTTTTCTAGCTCTAGCCCAATCCTAAGCAGAACAAACCTTAAGGATGTACAAAAATATTTATAGCTCTTCAAGAGGTAGCAAAGTATGAGAATCTGAGGGAGCACTCATCAATTACAGAATGACTGAACAAGTTAAGAAATGATTAAGCAGATAGTTTCTGAGAAACCTAGTAAGACTTATATGAAGTGATGCAGAGTGAAGTGACTAGAACCAGGAAAACAATTTATACAAAGACAACAATATGGAAAGACAAATAAAACTGAACAAATTAGGAAATTGGATGAGTGTAATGACCAACCACAATCTCAGAAAACTAATGAAGAAACAGGCTACCACCTCCTGAAAGACAGGTGAAGGACTTAAGAGTGTAAAATGATATATTTTTTTTTTTACATAACTAATGAGAAAATTTGTTTTACCTGACTATACATGTTTGTAAGAAAGGCTATGTTTTTCCTTTGTTCTCAATGGTATATGTGTATGGGGGGGGGGGTGTTGGGAGAAGTGAAATTTTGCTGACTGTAAAGATAGTTTTAAGAAAAAATATGGTATGTAAATATGTAGAATACTATTATGCCATAAACAAAATAACAAACAGTACTATTTCAAAGAAATCTATGAAGGAGTAAATGAGCAGAATCAATTTATACAGTAACAACATAATAAAAACAAACAAGTCTAAAAGACTTATAACATCTGATCAATGCAATGAATGACTATTTTTGCAGAAGACTAATAATTTGTTTTTCTTGATCATGCATATTTGTTATAAAGGTTTTGTTTTCCTTTTTTTTTTAAACAGAAATAGGAGAGAAGATAAATGTTTATAAACAGCATCTGGCAAATTTTCGTGCTATTCTTATAGAACAGGAGGGAAGCAACATGATACAGTGGACAGAGTGATAGTTTTGTGGTCAGGAAGACCTGGGCTCAGGTCCTATCTCTGACATACACTAATTGAGCAAGTCATGATCTCTCAGTTCCCCAGAGAACTCTGTAAGACTAAGCAGGAGAGCAGGTATTAATCTACATTGGTAAGTGGAAGCTTCTATACTAGTAGCTCCCTATGCAATAAGACGGCAAGTTAAGTTATCCTCCCCTCCCCAAAAAAAGGCAATGACAATGAATAGGTGAATAACTGCCATAGGCTATGGTGGGGGAAAGTGTGTTCACTGCCTGATATATAGTAGGTACTTAAGAAATGCTTACTGATTTACTGACTTCCTGATTAAACACATTTCATCAATGAATGATTGTTAGCAAGCTTTTCCTTATATGATGCCTAAGTCTGTCTCTCTGAAACTTGAACCCATTTCTCCTAGTTCTGGCCCCTAGGGCCAAGGAGCAGTAAGAGTCTAATCCCTCTTCCACATGAAAACCCTTTAAGTACTTATCCTGTCTCCCTGCCTATTCTCTTCTGGCTAACTCTCCCCAATTATTTCAGATCCTTATATGGCCTGATCCCATCTTTTCCCTACTCTGGTTACCCTCTGCTGCTTTGATAAACTTTAGTCCTTCCTAAAATGTGGTGCTCAGATCCAACAACAGTAACAACATCACATCTCTGTAACACTTTAGATGCAACCAGCATCCAAGGGCCTGTGAGCACTGTGCTAGGCAGGTCTGAGGGTGTGAAGATGAAAACAAAATAGTGCTTGACTCCCAAGCATTCACTTGCATTCTACTGGGGGTAAATGACTCGGACCTGGACGAGACAAGGTAAAGTAATATAATACAATATGTAATCCACTAAACCCAAAGCAGAGGTGGGGGCTTTAATGGGGCAATCAAGAAGGGTCTCAGAAGGAGGTAGCCCTTGACATGATCCTTGAAGGAGACCAGGGCTACAAGAACCAGGCAAGAAGGGGGTGTACACCACGAAAAGGGGGGGTAGATACACAAACTATGAAAAGGCATCAAAAACAAATGGAATATTAAATATGGGGAACTTCCAATAGGCCACTTTGGCTGAAACACAGAATGCATGAGGGAGAATAACATGCAACTGACCTAGAAATGGGATGGAGCCAGACTGTGATTATATGCCAACCATAGGGGTTCGCAATCTTTCATTTATTTATTTATTTATTTACTTATTCATTCATTCATTTATTTATTTATGGCAGTTGTGGTTAAGTGACTTGCCCAGGGTCACACACCTAGTAAGTGTCAAGTGTTTGGTCTGAGGCCAGATTTGAACTCAGGTCCTCCTGACTCCAAGGCCGGTGCTCTATCCACTGTGCCACCTAGTTGCCCCAGGGGGTTTGCATTCTTGCTAGAGGATATAGGGAACCAATGATGCTTCTCAAGCAGAGAAATGATACAGTTAGACTTATACATTAAGAATACCACTATGCTTCAGTAGGCAGTGGCAATCAGGCACCTGTACTAAGTTAGGCATAAAGATAGTGAGCCTCGGGGACCAAGGGAGGATGGTGGCAAAATGGCTCAGGCCAGAAATGAAGTGAATCAAAGTTCAGGAGCAGGACAGGAAGTAAAGCTCCTTTACTTCCAGCCTCAATGAGATGGAGAGACTCAGTCTTTAAATATTTTTTTTTCCCTTTAAATTAAATCTGGCAGCTACATGGAAGATGGATTAAGATTTTGAGGTGCTTTCCTCACAACGATTAGGGTGTGCCAGTATTGCTATTCCCATTTTATAGACAAGAAAATTGAGGCCCTAATAGGTTCAATGATTTGCCCAAGATCACAAACCTATTAAATGCCTGATGGAGGATCTGAATTCAGATCTTCCTGACTCCAAGTGCAGCCTTATCTAATATGCTCTATTGCACATCAATGTCCCAAATGTAGACCCTCAGGGCAGAGGAAAGTGAACCACTCCAGTCCCTTGACAGCTCTTTACTGCAGCTGAGAACAGCATTAGTTCTTCTGGCTACCAATCTTTTACAAAGTAACTGTTCTGAACCCTAAGGCAAACTTTTCATCTAGCTCTACAGACTTTGGTTGCCCTAGATTTCTCTCATTGTTCTAGCCTGACAAGATTTTTTTAATTCTGCCATTCACCACTATTTCTCCAACCAAGCTTCCTTTTATCTGCAAATTTAGTGGTTTCTTCCAAGTTACTGATAAAAATGTTGACTAGCACAGGGGGCCAAAGAAAGATTTGCCCCTAGAATTCTCTTTCCAGGTTGAAATTGGTCCACTGTTAAATTGTTTTCAGTTGTGTCTGACTCTTCCTCACCCCATCTGGGGTTTTCTTGGTAAAGATATTGAAGTGGTTTGCCATTCCTCCTCTAACTCATTTGACAGGTGAGGAAACAGAGGTAAAGAGGGTTAAGTAACTTGCCCATAGTCACACAGCAAGTAAGTGTCTGAGGCTGGATTTGAACTCAGGTATTCCTGACCCCAGCACCAGCACTCTATCCACTGTGCCACCTTGCTGCCCCACTGACCCATTAATAGCTTTTTAAATCTAATTATTCTACCAGTTCCTAATTTAACTATACTTTCGTGTAGCTCACAGCTGTCTATCTTACCCATAATGATGATAAAAGTTTTTGTCAAGTGCCTTGTTGAAACTCAAATACAATAGGTCTACAGGATTTTATTTTGATGCTAACATTATTTGATTTTTTGGAGCCATGTTTTCTTTAACTTCTTGTCATGAACTGACAAGGACAAAATATTGGCTTCTTAGCAGCTTATTTACTGTCATAATTTCAGTTGCAAGTCCTTGTGAAGATATGACACTGAATGTAAAGCTGTCCAGGATTTGTCTACAAATGACACCCTTCTTAAAGAAGAACAAAAGAGATCTATCCTCATTCAGTTTATGGTATAAGCAGCAGCTGCAGCAATAAAACAAAGTGCCTTCAAAGACCTCTTGCAATTTATTCTATTGCTCAGAATCTCTAAACTCAGATATAGCCACCATAACTTTTGTATGTAACCCCATAAGCTACTGACCTTTATATCTATTACGGTGCAAGTAGACCCAAACAGTGACCATTATTAGTTTAAAAAAAAAAAGTTTTCCTAAGTAATTCCCTAGAAAGATTAAGGACTTGCCTATGTAACCCTTTTCAGAAGTATTTTTAAATATACAAAATAAAATGCATAGGATCACAATGGAAATCAATTATATCAGAAAAAAACAACAACAAAGTTTATGGACCCTAGGTTAAGAACTCTTGTTCTAGAAGGAAATCTTACAATATCCTTTTTAGGATAATGTCTCCTTACCTAAGTTGCAAGGGAGAGAGAGTTTTTGGAGAATCCAAGGGACCAGAAACTTCCAATGATATCAAAAAAAAAAAAACAAAAAACCAAACAACAGAATGCAAATTCAAGGTCTTTTAGAAACTGCAAAGGCTTAAGTACTGGAGAAACTAGCAACATAAAAAAATTTCAATTGAGACTGACTGTACTCTTACCACCATTTTCTGCTCTATCCAGTCTGCATGCCTCCATGATGTTTATTCTTGCAGCAAAAAATCACAATACAAAGGCTTTGTCCAAAAAAAGAACATAAGTGTTACCTTCAGGCCAGGGCTTTGGGGGTCCACCAGGAGGCTGTCCAGGCATTCCTGGGGGAACTCCTGAGGGTCCAGGAGGGGGCATGTTTGGCCCTCCCATACCTGTGAGTAGTGGGAAGCAAAGAATTTATTTTAAAACTCTTTTGTATAGGTAAAGTGGAGGGCAGCTTTGTTTCCAAATGTATACGTGGGCAGATGAAAAAGTAATGAATGCAGTAGAGTCACAATTCCTTTAACTTCGTGCTGACAAAGCTACGAAAGGCAAGTGAACAAGCACACTTTAATGAAGTCCACTGTAGGGCACCATTAAAAGGTTGGACTAGGGGTGAATGGATGACTAAACAAACAGTAATATACAGACAGACAGAAGCCCTTTTGTTTATTAACTGCCCCCCTTCCCCTGCCGTAGGCTGTTCTAGGCTATATTACAAATAACAGAAGCAATACAGGCAGTCAACACTCACCATGAGGTCTGTTATAATTTGGAGGTGCGGGTCCTGGACCAGGCCCAGGTCCAGGTCCTGGTCCTTGTCCTGGTCCTGTCCCAGATACAGAGGGTGGAGGTAGTGTTGGCATTTGCTGCTGCATTCCTGGCATTGGTCTTTTTCCCTGCACTGCCATCTGCAGGTGATCTGGTAAAGGTTGCCCTCTGGCCAGCATTTTATAAGCCATAATTTGAGCTCTGAGCTGATGCAGCTGGTTTTGATTAAAAGGCGTTGGGCCACGGTTTTGTTGTCCTAATGCTTGTGGGTCACTACCATCTAATGGTACCCCACCAGGACCAGATGACATCTGGGGGGCTGAAGATGGGCCATTAGCCGGAACAGGACTTGAGGCATGCTCAGAGCCACCCAGAGGAGAGGGATAACCTATGGAGAAATGAAATGCTAAATAGTCACACTACATATTTCTCATGATTTTTAAGAAAAACAGTATTTTCTCTAAAATCCTAAAGTATAGCTCCTATACTGAAAGTGGGGAACGAACTTAGTCACCTTTGACAGTTCGTCCAAGACCTTTAATGCTATATGCATAAGGATAATATCAGAGACAGGATATTGTTAAATAACATGAAAAAGGTCATTTTACAGACTTATAATTAGTAATGTTACAATGAGGAGAAATAAAACTCTAAATAGCTGTTGCTCAAAACAACTTTGGGTATGGCTATTAAAACCTATATCCAGAAGGAAAATGACAAACTGAAAAATCTCTGCCATATAAAGTGTTCAGAGAGATCCCGGAGATGTGTGCACACAGCTTTACTACTGCAAATATATAAACACTGATGTGGGAAAAGGTGGAGGGAAAGGGCCTTATGAGAAAAACAGTACCTTGAGAATGCTGATCCATTGGGCTTGGAGGAGGCCCCATCCCTGCATGTCCCCCAGACCTCATTCCCATCCCTTTCATCTGGTTATATCGAGGATCATCCGACATTCCCTTCTCATGCATGGAATCCATTGGCTACAATTTTAAAAAGCAACAAAGCAGCATTTTTGTCAGATAAGTCACTTGCTGTGAAATTGAAACATTATTACCAACCCATACTTCTGGAAGGGCACGATGTAACAGACTGTGCATGCAAAGTTATGTTATGGGTCCCAACCACAACAGACTTAATAACTATTTGAAAAAGCATACTATACATCTAATGCGGTAAATAATACAAAGCAATATATGTTAAACACCAAATTAGTGGCACAGATAATAAAGGCTAGCTTAGAAGAAGACAAGATTAATGAGAACTGAGGTAATCGGCAAAGGGTTAAAAGAGAAAGTGGGAGCTGAAAGAGGTCTTGAAGGCAGAGACTAGAAAAGGTATTCCTTCCTAGAAGGGAAAATGGTATAAGGAAGCAGAAAGGTTCAAAGGGGCAAGACTACAGGAGAATAACCAAGATCCAACCTCAAACATTTACTGATATGTGCGGAGCCTCATATTTCTAACATATAAAATGGGAATGATACCTATGCTCTTAAAGAACTGTGAAGAATGAGCTTTGTGAAAACTTTAAAGTCCTCTCTGATGTGAACTACTAGGCAGGTATGGTACAAATTATGATGGGCACCAATGTCCGGCTGAGAAATGTGGATTATTCCACTGGCATGTGGAACTACTAAAGGTTTCTTGGGGAAAAGGAAAAGAGGGCAATGGGAGTAGATTAATGGTAACATCTACAAACAAAGCAATATTTGAGAAGATAAATATGGCAGCTGTGTGTAGGATGTTTTGGAGGAGGGAAAGAATGGAGGCAGAAAGACTAGTTAGACGGTTATTAGAAGAACAGTTGTATAAAATAATAAGGACATTGACTAGGATGGTAGACTTGAGGTCATAAAAGAAGATATAGCTTCAACAAATATGATGGCAGAAGACAAAAATGAATACAACTGGAATTAAACTAAAAGGGAAGACAAAGGAGAAAATAGTTTTAAGCATGACTGTTAAACCAGATACCACATAGGATAGGAAATATGACATAAAAAGAAAGTATCAGATATTCAGTAATTTGGGGGAGAAAATAATAGGGAAAAGGGGCAGAAATGATACTTACGGGTTGGATGTGTATATACCAATACACAGAATAAAGATAATGAGAAAGTGATCTGGAAATTGTAACTTGGGGTGACTTACAGATATCACAGACTTGAAGGGATACAATTCATAACTAGAACAAGGTAATGGAACAGTATACATTGTTTAAGAAGATGATATAAGGTAGAAGGGAGGAAAAGTGATTACACACTAAGATTATATTTATAAATGATTGTTAATCGAAAAAATAAAGCTTAAAAAGAGGATATTCACCTGAGGAAATTCATGAAGTTGTGGGGAAGCCTAGCGTGAACATATGATAGCCAAAAGAAGAAGAAACAAAGATCTTATACAGTACTGGAAGTATATACTACAGGCCACTAGACCAGATGAAAGAATTGAATGATACATTCTTTACACTATTTACTACCTAAGTTCCAAATGGTTACATAACTTGAATGTTAAAAGATCACAGATTTTAAAAGTCTGAAGAGAATCAGATTAGGGAAATTTCATAGCTATCAATAAGAGGAGAGCTCTTTTCTTTTTTAAATTCATTTTTTCTCAACCACATGTAAAAAAATTTTTTTAAACGTTCATTTATTAAAATTTTGAATTTCAAAATTTCTGCCTCCTCCCCTTGAGAAGGCAAGCAATTTGATATAGATTGTAAGCTATGCAAGACATATTTCCATATCAGCAATGTTATGAAATACACCAAAAAAGAAAAACAAAAAACCCCAAGAAAATAAAAGTAAAAAAATGCTTTGAAATGCATTTGAACTCTCTGAAGGTGAACAGCATTTTTCATCCCAAGTCTTTTAGAACTGTCTTAGATCACTGTATTGCTCAGAATAGCTAAGTCATTCACTGCCGATCACTGTACAATATTAATATTACTGTGTATAATGTTCTCCTGGTTCTTATCTCACTTTGTGTCAGTTCATAAGTCTTCCCAGGTTTTCCTGAAACCTTCCTTCTAGAATAGTATTCCATCACAATCACACACAAACTTGTTCAGTCATTTCCCAATTGATAGATACATCCTCTATCTCCAATTCTTTGCCATTGCTATAAATATTTTTGTACATATAAGTCCTTTTCCTTTGATCTCTTTGGGATATAGACCTAGTAGTGGTATTGCTGGATCAAAGGGTATGAACAATTTTATAGCCTTTTGGGCATAGTTCTAAATTATTCTCCAGAATGGCTGGTTCAGTTCAAAACCCCACCAACAATGCATTAGTGTCCCAATCTTCTCACATCCCCTCCAGCATTGATCATTTTCTTTTTCTGCCATATCTGATAGGTGTGAGATGGTACCTCAAAGTTGCTTTAATTTGCATTTCTCTAATCAGTAGTGATTTAGAACATTTTTTCATGTGACTATAGCTTTAATTTCTTCTTCTGAAAACTGCCTGTTCGTATCCTTTGACCATTTATCAATGGAGAAAGGAGAGAGTTCTTAACTAAAGAAATGTTAGAAGTAATCACAAAAAGTAAAATAGATAACTTTGGTTATCGAAAAGTCCTGGTACACAGTAACAACAAAATTATAATAATGATCAACTGTGAATGACTTGGCTACTCTGAAGTTTAATTTTTTCACTTTATTTTTCTTGTTTTTTTGGGGGCCAACATAGCTAATATGGAAATGTAACTGATACATTGCTTGCCTTCTCAATGGGAAAGTGTTGGGAAGGAAAGAATTTAGAATTAAAAAATTTTTTAAGTGTTAATAAATAATTTTTTGAAAAAGAAATGCAAAAAAAGGGGGAGAAGGTCTTGGTAATATTTAAAACAAAACATCTAGGAAGGAAAAGAAGTTGTCAAATGGGAAAATTTTTGCATCAAATTTCTCTGATAAGGGTTGGCCATTCAGGATACACACACACACACACACACACACACACACACACACACACACACACAGAACTAACTTATATATGAGACCAAGAGTTGTCCCTCAATGAATAAGTGAGCAAAGGATGTGAAAACAGTTCTCTAAAAAACTGCAAATTATTAACAACCATATGAAAGAATATTCCTAGTTACTATTAAGAGAAACATAAATCAAAACAACTTTTAAGTTTTACCTCACACCCAGCAAATGAGCAAAAATTACAAAAGATGGGAGCAGTTAATACTGGGGGCGGGGAATATGGAAAGATGGAGACACTAATACATTGTTGGTAAACTGATCCAAATATTCTGGAAAGCAAGTTGAAACTATCTGAAAAGAATGATTAGAATGTCCATACCCTTTAAACTCAGAAGTTTTACAGTTAAGTATATACCACTCAAAGAAGTCAATAACAAAAAGAAAGACCCCATAAACACCAAAATATTTAAAGAGGGACTTCTCAAGTGGCAAAGAACTAGAAATAACATAGATGTCTATCAGCTTCTGACTGGCTAAACAAACTGTGGCACTTGACTAAAATGGAATATTACTGTGCTATAAAAAAATGATAAATGTGATGAATACAATAGGAAGACACATGAACAATTTGACGTAACCAAAATCAAGAAAACAAGAAGTACAATGACAACAACATAAATGATATGAAAAACAACAAAAAAAATCAAAATGGAATACTGTAAAATATAATGACCAAGTCTGCTCCCAAGTAGAGTTATAAGGTGCCTATTCCCTATATTTTTGTAGTGTGGGGGACTGTGAGGATAGAATACAACCCAGGCTTTTTTGATATGTTGGTTAATTTTGCTATACTTTTCTTTATCATAAGACTCTTTGGGAGTGGGTGGGAAGAAAAGATACAGTGGGAGAAATGTAGGTGAGATAAAAATATTTCAATGAAAAGTTTGTTTTAAAAATATGAAAAATAGCTCCAAATCACTAAGAAGAGAAATGAAAAATCAAAACTCTTGAGGTTTCATCTTACAACCAAGCAAATCAGCAAAGTTGACAAAAAATTAGAATATTCAAGGGCAGAGGGGCTGTGAAAAGACAGGCCCACTATAACTCACATAGCATTATTGATGGGGTTGTGAATTGTGGTTCAACCATAGTGGAAAATCTAACTCATATCCAACTTAGAAATAACTGTAGCATTTCATGTAGCCCTGTTGCTCTGGAAAGTAATTTGGAATCATGCAACTTCCTCCTCTAGGAGGTCAAAGACACAAAGAAAGGTCCCATTTACACCAAAATAATTATTGCAGCATGTTTTGTGGTAACAAAGAACTTGAAACAAAATAAATGCCCATCGACTGGGAATAGTTAAACAAAATGTGGTACATGGATGTAACTAATTGAAGGTAACAAAAATTCAGTAAAGCACAGGAAAACACATGAACACATAAAATTGAAGTGAGCTGAACCAGGAAAATAATACACAATTACTACAACAACAGAAATGAAAAGAAAAAAAAAAAGACAAATGAATGCTGTATAACTATGACTATACTTAACTTGAAGAAGGGATGAAAAAATTTACCTCCCTCCCTTCTTTAGAGGCACAGGCAATTTGTGTGGAACACTGCCTGTACTATCAGATCCAGTAGATGGGTTGGTTACTTTTGCTGAACTATTTTTTTATATCTTTTTTTACCCTTTCATACAAGAAAAGGCTTGCTAGATAGTGGAGAACAAAAGGATATGTTCCAAAATGAATGTGATGGAAAAAAACGTATCAATCTTAAAACAAGAAGTTTTTCCAGAAGGACTAAAAGCCTTTTAGCTAAGGCGTATAATTACCCATTTTGCTTGTTTAGCAATGTTGAGTTGAGGGGAAGATTAAGGATAAGGATCCTCCTACTTGATGAGAACTGAAAGATGACAGGCAATGCAGAGAAGGTGGAACTACTTAATCTTTATCTTGTTTCTTTAACCTAGCTTGGAAAACTATTTTCTGTAGCACCAAAAGAACTTGCAAACATGACTACTGAACCCAATGATGGCTACTTT